CTTATGGAGAGTATCCACAAATTTTTTCCAAACACTTTGAGCCTGGCGACTCCAGCTGGTTTCCGAGCCTTCGCTGACACTGTGTGGAAGAGGTGGGAATAGCAAGCACTTCGCTTAAAGCTCTGAAGTCTGGAAAAAGAAAAGGGAAGTGTCCCCAGTGAGATGAAGGATCTGGGACAGTCTAACAGCCATTGGAAAAACAGCTGCTCCTTGTGAAACCTGGCCTGCCTGTTTGCCCTTGCAGGAATAGCTATAATTCTGATTGGCTTTGTAAAATAAAAGCAAAAATATGGAAAATACGTTGGACAGGTAATTAGGTTCCATTAGAGCACTATCAGTAGGGAAAATCATGCACAGCAGAAGCATGTTTCAGAACTGTTTTTTTAATTTCTCTCCCCCTTTTTTTTTCCATTATTGTAATCCTCTTTTCTTCAGTGTCTGTGTTAACACTACTTTCCCCACTTTCTTTTTCAGTCCCATTTATAGCTAGGAACACCAAAGGCTGCATAAAAGCTTTGCACATAATGTTAAATTGAGGTTTTATTAAATTATTTTTACTATTTCACAGATATTTTTAATGGAGGTATAAAGAGCTTAGTTTGGGCCTCTCTTCTGTGCTCTAGCTAAACAGGTATCCTGTTAATACTGTGGTATCTCCCAAGCTTTTTAGGAAGGCTGCTGCTGGTCTCATCTCCTGTTTTATGATTTTGAAGTACTTTTTGGTAAAATACAATCCCAATTGAGAATCTTTACTACCTTTCTTATCCTTTCTTCTTATCTTCAAGATAAGTGGAAATTCACAGCTCTCTGCTATTTCTTTTTGGGTAGGCAGATGGCATTTCCACTCCATGGAATTTTCTTTCCCTAGCATGTTACTTGAGTGTTTCTTTGTGAGCTGAGTGCCTCTCTGTAAAACTGCTTGAGATGAAAATGTATAATTAAAGGAGTGCAAGTGGAGAATATTTAAATTCTTTTGATCTGACACTTAACTAGCTGCACAATATTCAGTGGCATAGTCAAACTATGTTTCACGCCTTAAAATAGCAAGTTTTGAGCACAGGCTAGAAAATCTTTCTTGATGAGCTGCTAGAACACTATCAATGAAGCTGTTGTCCAACACTACTGAGTACCCTTGGACTGTAGTAAACTCAAAAAAAAGTGAAGCTGGAAGAAATGTATTGAACTAACTTTGTCATTTAGGATTTATTTATGGCTTTTTATCATTCTGCCCTATTCAAATAACGTGTCACAGATCCTCACAGCTTTTAGCCTTGCATTGAAAGAAAACATTGCCAATGCTTGTGGCAGGCTGAAAACAGTACTGCAGACAGCAGAGGGCAGTGAGGGCAGAGAAAGCTGACTTGGTTTTAAAATACTTCCTCTTCAGACTTCTTTTCACTTTTTTTTTTTTTTAATACATTCATGGGATGAATTTCTGAGATACTTAATTATTATGGTAGTATGTAAATATTTATGTACACTTAAAGCTGATTAAGGTGCTCTTGTGGTATGTGCTGTAAAAAGAATGGGAAATGTTTTATGCTGAGAAGAAGAGAAGAGGTCAAAAGGGGAAATACACAAGCATAAGCAGAGAAATAAAAAGCAATAAATTATCTTGCATTTCTATGCTTGCAAACTATTGGGCTTTTTCACCTTCTGGGTGCCTACCCCCATGGGTTGGAATTCAGTGGAATTCAGGGGTAGTTTCTGTACCTTGGCTTTCCTCAACACTTCTACACCCTGAGTAGCAAGAGGCATAGTCTTTTATGTTACTCTGAGGGAGAGGAAATTCTGAAGTTCATCTAAATTCCATCTGTGTTAAGCCAGTGTGATCTGGAAGGTTTAGTACACGACAGGGAATTAGGAGTCCAAGTTTCTCATTCTGTGTCTGATTTACTTGTATGCCCTTTAACAACTTCTGCTCTGCACTTCACTTTCTTTGTGTCAGATGAAAATGGTAGTAATTCTTAGATCTCTGGGGTATCACAAGGTTTCATTTGCTCATACTGATAGATAGCTTTGAACTCAACATGCAGAATGCGTTGACTTGATTTCTGATACAGCTGGCTGCCAGTGAGATTGACCTCCTATTTGTCAATTTAATGGATTTGTTTTATCAGAAATAATGTTTATGTTCAGGTCTTTTTCACATGGACCAGCAAAGGAGTGGGAATAGGCCTGGTCAAAGACCAAACATATCTGCTTAAACCTTGTGCCTTTAGGCACTGACATCCATGGCCGTAAATGATGTACTTGTCTGAACTGGGTAGAACAGGACTATTGAAGCCATAATATGAGAAAAAAGTAGCCAAACTCTGAACTTCTAAACAACCTTTTATTTATTTTTTGCCTGTTGATAAAAGGAATAAGAAGTACAGAAAAAAATTGCCACTTAATATCAACTTTTGCCCAAGTAAAAGACAGGACCATACTTTCAATATGAAATGCATTTAAGGCAAAGAACCAGCCATAAGTGAATGTCCAAATCTTCAGATTTTTAGAGTTAAGTATTAAAATTGTCAAAAGTGAAATTATTTTTTTCCCCAGCGTTGCATTTCCAACTGCAAACGACATTCCAGAGGGGCAGCAATGTATTATTTTTCTGTTAGGTGCTGCCTCTGCACTATCAGACTGTAACTGTGGTAACCCCATGCACAAGTGGCAGTGATAAAGCTCTGATTATTTATGTTGTAATAGCCATCCGATGCTATAGAAATAATTACTTTGGTAGGTACCTTAAATCTTCCAATTAGAAAGAAAATAAAATCAATGTGATGCTTCCTTTAAGCCTTTAATTTATAAGCCTTGCCTTTTAGATATCTGAGGCCAAAACTAAGAAAACTGGAAATTCTGTATTCAGGAAGAAAACAATAGAATAAATGTATACTGCATTCTCTTCAAAACCAGTGCAAGAATATTGAAGATCTTTGTAGAGAGGTTTTCATTTGCATTTGTGAGAGCATGATACATATATAGCAAAAATTAAATTTATATGAGATACAGAATACAGAGCTATCTCTGCAACACATTAAAATATATGAAAAACATATGTTGCATTACAACAGAGGTTTTACGTGAACCTTGGAAGCCTGTATCTTAAGAAGATAGTTAATAAAATCACCTCGTCTTAGAGAAACCGAAGGTCACCTAGCCTCCCCCTTTCTCTGTGTCCTAGTCTAAGTGTCTAAACATAACCCTCATGAAGAACCAATCTCAGCTTCTGCCACTGCACTGATAAGATCTTGAAAGAGTATTCTGCCAGTTTTGGTCACTGCACTCTGACCAGAAAGGTTTGTCTCAGTCTGAAAGTGTCCAGAGAGCAGCAACAAGGATGGTTGCAGAAGTTCTAGAAATGACAGAGTAGAAGATAAAGAGCTCTGAAGTCCTGAGGAAATATGTAACAAAAATCCTTACATATATGAAGCATTGCTGCAGGAAAATAACTCTTCCTCATTCCTGCCTATGTGCAGAAAAAAAAAAGTTACATAAATAGCAGCAAAATAAAAGTAGATTAGACATAAGAATAATTTTTTATTTTTTTTGTTGGTGGGAAAATAATTAAACAATGTAAAACATTTAAGAGACGTGATATCTTCAAATATAACAGATTTTCAAATTTAAATCTACCAAGAGTTGCTAAGTTGTAGTCTTGCTGTAGTTCTTTTGCTCTAAGGACATAAGATTTGTGGAATGAAGTAATATATTTTATTAGATCAACTGATACAGCTGGAAGACAGACAGAAGCTTTCAGGCACATCATCCTTCTTAGGATCTAAAGAAGCATCTGATCTCAAGAGCTTATGTGCCTTACAGACTGTGTACTTTTTTCCAGCTGTTTTAGCTCATTTAATGGCTATAAGAGAGCAGCTTAACTCTGGCAGATTCCATTTTAGGTTTGGGCAACCTCTTGAGGACCTTTTAAGCTCAATTTTTTAACATTCTCTGATCTGTTTAATATATCTAAATTAAGCATTGTGCTATATCCTGGCAGATTAGGAGACTTTGAATCTTCATCTAGATGTGCGTGATGGATGAATAATTGTTTGCAGGGAAGACCCTTTGATGTACAGTGAATTGTATCCTTGTCTTACAAGAAGTATTGTGGTGTTTCTGGAAAATTTTGCGCATCAGTTTTTAAAGATCTTTGGGTGAACGAATTTAAAAATCTAAATAATTAAAAACCTTTTGATTGCTCCAGTCACTCAGGGTTTGACTTCCAAAATTATTTTAAAAATTACTTTTCTGCTGCTTTCTCAGACTTAATTATGGCATTTTTAATTTAGCAGCTTATGAATTCAATGTAATGATTTTAAAGATCAATTTGCCCCATTTCTAAAAGTCTCAGTTTGAAAAAGAGCAACATAAAATATACAAAACAAGCTTTAAAGGCATATCTTATAAGATGCCTGCTACATGCTGCTTTTGATCACCATCAAAAATGTAACATTTAATACAGTAGAAATTACTTTTATTAAATTAAAATCACAGTTACCCAGAAAATTGTTACAGATTCTCTGCAGATGCAATAGATATGTTAAATCCAGCAAAATATTTTATAAAATTATATTTGTACAGTGTAAAAGATTCTGTGTTGTAGCAATTTGATTGAAGCATCATGCTATCATAAGAAAAGATAAAAACTTTTACAGGTATAGATGTATATTGCTGTAGAATAGAGCCAATGGCTTGAAAGAGAAATGAAGAAAGTTGTATGGATAGTTAGTGAAGATTAAGAGAGAAATAAGATGCTTTATATATTGGATTATTTCCCACATTGCAGTCTGTGGAAGGTCTGTTTGTGTATCAAGGATCTCTCTACAAGTATCTCTTGTTTCCACTCTAAAAGAAAACACATGGTTCTTGCACTGAACTGCGTATTCAGATATTCTGTGTTAAACAAAGGACACAAACATTTCCTTAATTCCATGAAGTCAAATGTTTTCTTCTTAAAGCATTCCCTAAGTCACTTCCATCTCACTAACTTGTCTTTCCAAATTCAGTTTGCCTTGCAGTGTGGAAGAATCATCACATGCGGACCGTTACCAACTATTTCATAGTGAATCTTTCTCTGGCTGACATTCTGGTCACAATTACTTGTCTTCCAGCAACTTTAGTTGTGGACATCACAGAAACGTGGTTCTTTGGGCAGACCCTCTGTAAAGTGATTCCCTACTTACAGGTATTATTTTTCTGTTTGTGTACACGTTACCCATGTTATGAAAACCAGAAATGACAATAGCATCTCCCTAATACTTCTAACCCAATGAATGTCTATACCTGATACTGAGTAGGTATCTCAGAGTACATGCTGAGGCCTAAAAGACTGTGGAATGTGATTATGCATAATAAAGAATGGTTTTGATCCGTCTGATTGTTGGACTTTGGCAATACATTTTTGGGGACATTTTTCTGATGCTCTTTACTTTTTGTGATTTTTTTTAAATGATTCAGAAAGGATGTAAAGCAATAGAAATATCTGTAAATAGAAATAAAGTTATTAATATTTTGTCTGTGTGGTTCTGAACAGCTACACAAGTATCCAGGACAGAGAATCCAACTTCTGAAGGCAGTATGGGCTTTTTTTGTGTTTACTGGTTTTGTGTCAAAGTATCCAGGTTCACTGGGAGTTGATCAGATTGTCTGCCTTAAGCAACAATTGCTTCTACTCATTTACTTAACTAGTTTTGAAAATACTTGCATCAAAATGATTGACAAATGCCTTCCCTAAGAGTAAGTGTATGGATGAACTGACTGGGCAAACTAGAATGACAAGTGCTTGGCTTTGTAGTCATTAAAATTCAGAAGAATTAAGCAGTACTCAGAGTGTATGCAGATCATCAGCTCCCTGCCTGCAGCAGTTTATATTTGCAGAAGATACATCTGTGGCCAAAGAGCCACATTGTCAAAGGCAATGTTCTCCAGCAGCTATGAGCTCTACTTGATACAATCAAAATCACAACTTTGTTTTTCAAAACCTCCTTTCTAGTGAAAGAAAATCTGAAAGAAAATCTGAAGAGTAAGTGATCACCTAGCATACGAATTGAAAGAATAAAACTGAAGTGATAGGTTATTTCCTTTAGTGAATAAAAGGTAAAATGTCTTAATCTGCCTTAAGCTGATTGTTGTCAAGGACTTTTTCATGAGATCCTGAGTTTCACTGTTCTTGTAAAGTAAAAAGCAAAATAATGGCTCTAGTATGCTAATATAACATAGAAACCAACTAATTTTTCTATAAAGAAAAAAAGATTAAATTCACAGTCTAATGTTTTAAAAGCTTTTTGTTTTCAGATTAAGTTTTATAAATTTCCAGTTGATTAAATTTTCTTTTTCACAATTTGATTTTGCAACACTTACTCAGTTTAGTTAGCATCTTAATGTGTGAATTGTCCTGTAGATTCTAGTAGGAGTTCAGCAGATGAGGATATCTGTTGTAATTCTGTAAGAAATTATTTTAAAAGGAGTCTTTTTTCTGGGAGTCTATTTAACAATTGCAGATAAAGAACTAACTATGTTGAAAATAGAAATAATTTTTAAAACTCTGGGGGAAAAATGCGATAAATTATTTTTGAAACTCTGGGAAAAAGCCCTACATTTGTATTTACAGAATATTCCTTTTTCTTTAGACAGTTTCTGTCTCTGTGTCTGTCCTAACACTCAGCTGCATTGCTTTGGATCGATGGTATGCAATTTGTCACCCTTTGATGTTTAAAAGCACAGCCAAGCGAGCAAGGAACAGCATTATAATTATCTGGATTGTGTCCTGCATCATAATGATTCCTCAGGCTATTGTTATGGAGTGCAGCAGTGTGTTCCCAGGATTAGCCAATAAAACCACCTTGTTCACAGTGTGTGATGAGCACTGGGGAGGTGAGTCTGTCATTGACCATAAGAGCTGAGTTTGTACCGCTATAAAATAATCAAAATATCAGGAGATGTTAATATGAAGTCAAATTGTATAAACATAACACAAAATGTTCTTGATTATATATGCTTTCCTGGAACTATCACTTTTCAAATTCTGTGAAATCTCTGGGAATTTCTTTTGTGTTGTTGAGGCTTAAAGTACATTTTAAATGAAGTTTAAATGAATGAGGCTGACAAGTGTCATGACGATGTTAATGCTTCCCAGAGTTCAGAAATGTTCCCACCCTTCAGTGCTTATGCCTATATAATTCTGTGACTGATGGACATTGCAGGTTTACAAAGACTTCAGTATTTAGCTTTAAGAAGTAACTATGCAAGAACAGATTTTTCTGTTTATCAGGTATTTTGCTAATTGCTGGCATTTGACTAGTGCTTATGGGTATCTCCTGGGAGTTCAATGCAAATTACAGATAAATGTCATTGCAGAATTTACAGCAGTGTCATCAATATAGGGTAGTGAGTTAAACTAAAATTTGAAATTTGTCATGGACAAAATCATTCAAAAACTTTGGGGAAGAAATCAGTTACAAATTAGTCTATACAGTAAGTGTAATCCTGCCCTTCCAGATTAACTTTGAATCTAACATGTTCTGTGTGTGAATGAAGCTATAAGGATTGCCAGGGAGTAACTTCTATTTTGTCTTCGTTCACAGCAAGTGGTGTGAGCCACCCACCCGAATGGTTAGGGCTCGACTCTGGTGGGCCTTGGCAGACCTCCAGTGCTAACAGTGCATGAGTTACATGCTGTGACTCTGACACTGGATATAATGGCCCTCAGTAATACCATTATTCACACACAGGAAAATAAAGCCAAGTTTGCCAAAACATGTAACTAAAAGGTGCCTGTTTAAAAGCCTTCAGTCCGGCTAAAACAGAATAAGATATTCTCCCAGATCTGTCTCTGTAGAAGAAGATTCCAGTCCTGTGAACAATTATGATAAAATACAACTGGATCACCTGTACTTAATTATCATGATAAATTATCTTAAACAGCGTGAACTGCTGAGGGCTCTTCCATGTGCTGTTCTGGAAGTTCCTTCCCTGCTAACGGCTTTCACAGAGCCACCAGAGGATTAATGAGAAGACACTGGGAATCACATTCCCTGCTCTTTATCTCCTTCAGTTAGTCCTCTGGGACAAGGCAAGGGAGTAGAGGTGGCCACTAGCTCACTGGTGCTCATTGTTGACAAAGGTGTGCTCTAAGTTTGTAGTAGAGAGGAAGCCTCTGTTAAGCTGTAATGTACTTAGTGTTTCATTGGAGAGGACACATCTGCTCTTTACTTCTAGTGTTCTCTCTTCATCTGTGAAAAATTTTGTATCCCCTTCTGCTGCAGGATACTGCAGCAGTTATGTGACAATCTTCTTTCACAACATTCATTTCAAGTACTATTTTTGTCCACTCATTTTGGTGCAGAACCAATTATTCATGCCTTCATCACTTCAGGGTTAACTCTGCAGCAAAGATTCTTTTCATCTCAGCCTAGGAAATGATGTGGTTAATTAATTAGGAAGTCAAGAGAGCATTTCATCAGGGAATGTAATCTCAGAATTTCCAGCTCTGTATTGGCCACTTTTTAATTCCCAATAGGAAAGTGTTGCTTTTGAACTACAGAGTCTGTGGTAGGCTTAGAAATATTTTAAAGAGTGCCTCTTGTTCAGTTGTGCTGAAGTAGTTTCAGCCTGAGGTGAAGCACCCACTATACAAAAAAAGAACAAGACACAACCAACAAGAAACAACCAACCCAAACTCCTGTGTGCTTGCAAGACTCTACTCCTATGGAGTATATTTGTCTAAATTTAAATCTACTGGTCTTCAGGTTATGATGTGAGTCTTCACTTGGATGTTTAGAGAGATAAAAGGGATTGTAATAAAGGCAGATACTTGTGTATAGAATAAATTTCTTTGTGTCTGACTTCAGAAAGGGTGTGCAAACACTCCAATTTTTCTTTAAATTTTTATTTATATTGAGTATGAAAATAATAATTTTATATTAACAAGTTTCCTGAAATGGGAAGCTTTTCACTCCAGGGAAAGATAACAATCCTATTTTTATCTTGCTGCCTTTTTAATGAATAATCCTTCTAATGGCAATGCACTATCATTGCTAGTTATTCTGCTGGTGCATTTTGGATATCCTTAAGAAAATCTCCATGTTCTAATAATAGCTAATCAGAGTAACTTGAAAGAAGAATCTTTTTATGCGTTAAATTACAAGCAGATTTCTCAAAATTGCTTAGTAAAACTAGAGTTAACCATATTTTACAATGAGGATAATATATATATATATATATATATATATATATATATATACATCTCTTTCAGACTATAGAGTGTCATTAAAAAATAATTCCCATTCCTATTCTAATTTCTAATTTCCCATTAGAAAGTGTCTAAGGACTCTGAGTTAGGTCAAAGCATAGAATATGTGGTTTTTTTCTACAGAAAAATAGTGTTTGAAATCACAAAGGCCCCCAAAAAGAAGAACAAAAGAAAAGGGTAACAAGGCAGTGGTTTGAAAAGAGTGGTGAGCCTTAAAGCTGGAAGAAGAAATAAAAAGCTAACAATTTTAAAGAAAATAGTTACATTTTTGTTGGATTTTTTTTGCCTTTTTTGACTATGCAAATATAGAGGGTCAAAGAAAGAGCTAACTAGGAGGATGCTGAAGGAGAGGGAAATTCATGCTACTACAAATAACCTTTCTTTGTAAAGAGAAGGTGGAGATGTAGATGTTGCACACACTGAGGAGGCCCTGAGAAAATCCTACAGGAGAACCAATTTAGAGAAATGGGTTGTATTTGGGTGTTTGTTGCTTTGTTTAGAACTGCATACAATTAATGCTGTCTAAAATTACAATACATCTGATAAAATCTTCGCAGAGAATCATGTACACCATATGTTCCGAGGATGTTAAACTGTGAATGTTAAAGACTGCCAGTGACTGCAAATGGAGCAATAGTTCAGCCTAAAGCAGGGCTCAGTTTCTTTATAATTGCTTCTGGCATTCCTGAATGTAAAATGCATTGCCAGTTCTAGGCTGAGGGTTTTTCATCTTGAGTACTGTCTAATAACAATATTTTATTTGGGAGTGCAGAAGGATCCAACATGTGACCTATGCGGGCTCACTTAAGGAGCCAGAGTTGGCCACAGTTCTATAATGGCCTGTAATTACCGTGCTGAATTTGATGATAAAGTGCCAAAATAAAAGAAATGTATATTAAAATGAGTTCACCATGTGTCCAAGTCAGCTAAGTACGTTGTCTTAGAGCTATTCAAGAAGAGAGTGTTAGCCAAAGTGCTTTAGCCAAGCAAGTGATAAAAAGAATATGGAGATAATCCTTTTCCAAAACTGCATGGTTGAATGGAAACAAAGGAAAGACTTTGTGTTCCATTTCCTCTTAGACTACTCATACAATAGTACAAAAACCACATTCTCTTAATTCTGGAAAACAAATAGCTGGAAATTGCAGTACTGCAAGAAGCTTTATACATCCTGTTTATCAAAAGGTTCAGAATTTAATGAAAAATTTGTGGAATATTTTAATGCAGGAGGAAGTCAGAATATTTCTAATACTAAAATTATGCTGGGTGTTATTGTAAGTTGATAACTCAAGCACAATATATTAGGTTTCAAAATGTAATTTTAGTATTAGCTAACCATAAGTACTCTGACATAGGGACTTAATTTGGAGGCAGTGCGTTATGTGGTTGATTTTTTTGTGCTATTGGCACCCACTTCCTAACATCCCTAATTATTAAGCTTCATTTTAAAAATGTACACTTTTATTTACATTGCTTCTCTATGTTGGTAACTCCAAAACCTCATGGGTATCTTCCTAAGATTAGGGAACCTGGTGACTCTGCTGATGTTCAACAAACTTGATAGTCCTGCTTTTCCTTATTCTTAAAGAAGCTGTCAGGAATACCAATTTTTTTAAGCACTATGGCTAAATGGACTATTTAATTTGCTAGACATATCAAAATGTTTTGAGTCTGTTTATTTCGGTTTGATTACACATGTATATGTATACATATATGTATATATATATTTACACAAATATAGCAAAATTTTGGCAAAAATCCAGTTTCAATCTACTGATTTCAGGCTGGGAATGGAAGACCAGGTAGAGAGGGAAGCTTTAAAAAATTTTAAAATGTGTTTAATAACCCCTGTAGTAGACAGATGAAAGCTTGTTCTAACGTACTGATCCTTTATCAGCTGGGGTAATTACAGTGTATGAATGAAGCTGAGTAGGAATGCTGATCTGAACCCAGTCCAACCCCTATGACCACCTGTTTGCTTTATGTTTTATTCTCTCTTTTCAAGAGAATAGTAGCCAGAGACATGAGCGTCATTATTTTATTCTTAAAGAGATGGTTACTCCAGCTAAGAACAATCACCCCCTGTCCCGAAGTCCATTATGTGACCACGGAAGGCAAGGACACTTTTTTTCTCCTCTTCTGCTTGGCTGTAAGAGAATCAGCTGTCCCAGTCAGGCAGGACCACAGACTGATTGATGTTTGCATTTAAGGAGCCTGGAACTCACTTGATAAATGAATGGTATCCTTGGCCAGCCCTCCTCCTTCTTGCTGCTGTGATTGTCAAACAGCTTTAAAGCTTTTCTTTGGCTTGAGAAGCTAAACAGAGTCATGCTTCTTAGGGAAAAGTTCTGCAAAGGGCTTTGCCCTGGGTGGAGGAGGGACAGGTTTCCTTTGATGTTTAGCAGCTGGCACTTTCCAGGTGGCTAAACTTCAAAGGCAAGTGTTAGGATCTTCCTCCAACCTGGTCCTCAGTTCTTTGTAGATAGCTAGGCTCATTTAATGTTTTACTTTACTTGGAATGCTAAATTGGAAGTCATAAACTCCAGATGGCCTTTTAAATATGTACCGTGCTTCTACCTGAAAGGGGCCCGTCTGCCGGCAGAGCATTGATGGGGCAGGTGGCACCTCCTCCTGAGCAGAAAGAATGTACTTAAAATTCTGACCTCCTGTGATCCCAGCCAGTCACGTTACTCCAGTCTCTCCTTAATCTCCCCACCTGTGAAGCATGCATATCAGTACTTCCCTGGCTAGCAGGACTGCTGTGGGGCTGCATTTTCTGGAATGCAAAAGCAAGTTTGGGATTATCAATCAACATATAATCTCAGGTTAATGCCACTTATAAAAAACTGCCCCAAATGGTCTGGCTCCCCAAGGGATATTGACAATAGTTAGTAACTGCAGCTGCTAGTTAAGAGTTGGTAAACTGCTTTGCTACAGGATCTTAGAGCAAGTAAGATGTCAAATACTACTCATCTGAATTTTCTGAACCCTGATCCATCAAAACTATCAAATGTCTGTGGCAGCATCTCTATTACCTTTGCTGGGAAGGAAGATTGGCTGTATTTTTCTGTAGCAGGTTTCCATCTCCTTGATACTGAAGGTTTTCTGACTGACACTTCCAGGTGGCACTTTCAAGTCCAATGACAAGTGGGAGATTACTTGAGTCTGCATTTAAGAGTGAGCCTGGAATTTACATGATGGTATTCTCCACCCTGCTGTGAGAGTTATGGAGCAAGTCTTTGTATATCTTTGTCTGAACAAGCTCTGAGATTCTCCTGGCATGCTTTTCTTTGATAGGGTCCACAGTCACAGTCACTTTAACAAACAGAAAATAATTTTGATGCACCAAAGGTTTGATCTTGTGCAACTCTTTTTTTTTTTTTTTTAATATTTTTATTAAAACAACAATCAATACAGAATTTCTTGCAGACCTTATAATCCTGAAACATTTGGAAATTCTGGAAATTAACATAAACTTTCCTTCTTTATTCTATCCAAGGCTCAATGATTAGGATTACTTTGCAATTTAACTCTTCATGAGGTGCAGTTTCTCTTCTGCTATGTGTTGTTGCTCTCCAAAATGTTCATTCCATTCCTGAGGCCATCCATAGATGTTAAGTTCTAATTAATAGCAACAGTTGGTAATGGCAAACTACAATTAATGTTACAAAAGAAGACAAGTTTTCAGGCAGTGCACATTCTGGTATAAACTACTAATGGAGCTTAAGATGCAACATTCTTACACAATACACTCAGCACTTTTAATGTTTTCTCTAAGCAAATAACATTCATAAATTGTCTTTTGAAAAGAGATATATGGGAAATTAGAACACAACAGTACCAAACTCATTAATGTTAAAGCTGAGTTAAAAAACATCCTGGAGATAGCCTAGGTTTAAAGCACTTGAATGTATTGATTCTATTTTTAAAATATAATAATTAATTACTGAGTCTTAGTAACATATTCTGCCACCAAACAGTGATTTATGAAATGTCTGTCTTTCCTCCCATCAGTGTCCTGTGTGCTGTAGTTTGCAGTTGCAGTGTTTATAGGTGCAGTTTACTCAGGGACTAGTAAACTAGTAGTAAATGTAGCATTTGCAGAATTTGCATAGTAAACTAGTAGCATTTGCAGAATTAAAACTGAAGACAGTTACACAACCTTTCAGTATGACAAGGATGGGTTAGATTGGATGATTACTTACCTCTTTTTAGATAACAAAAATTTTCACTTTTAGATAACATTTCATTTTTAGATAACAAAATTAATCCATCACTATTTTAACAAAAAGTAAAATAGAAAGTAAAGAAATAATATGATAAGAAATCAGTAATGTGATATAGGAGATCCTTGAGATAAAAAGCATGTTTCTAATAGAATGTATCTAGAAGTGATTAAAAAAAAATCTTGACCATAATATTTGGTACATTTTCCTATTATGTTAAAAAATACATGCATATCTATATGAATAATTTTCCTAAGGTGATTTTGAAATATACGTATATTTAAATGCAACTTTCCTATTTGAATTCTCTTTCCAGCTGAGGTTTACCCCAAAATGTATCACACATGCTTTTTTCTGGTGACATACATGGCACCACTGTGTCTTATGGTGTTGGCGTATTTGCAAATATTTCGAAAGCTGTGGTGTCGCCAGGTAAGTCACTTAGCACTGGCTCTGTTTACTCGCTCTTGCAACTTTGTGCAGATTCCCATGTACAACCTCTTTCTTTATAAACTCCATGTTGTCGCTTAAGACTTTGATTTTTACATCCATTCTGGTGTACAGACACCTTGGGTAAGCATTGAGATGTATTGAAAAATTAAGGGAGTCAGAAAGTAAACTGCTTTCTCGTTTTCTATCTGTGAAGGGCTTTCTGTTAGAGAGAAGGAAAGCAAAAGGCAACAGAAAAATTGATTATACTTAGAAGAAAGATCTCCCTCACTGTATCTGAAATGATTACCAAAATACCTTAGGTGACCTTATTTATACTGCTAAAATCTCCTGTAGCAGTCAAAATTTAAGACTGGCTTTCTTATTTTGTTAGTTTTATTTTTATTTTTCTTACTCGGGTTGGTGGCAGGTCCAATCTGAACGAAATGAAAACTAGAAGGTCTAACTATCAGTACTGGGAGACTGGAATTGCCTGATGTGAATCTGGCTGTTACCAATAACATTTGATGTGATTTGATGACAAATAATTGACACCATTTCTAATGTGAACATCTGTTTCTTTCAAGCTTCAAATAAAAAATACAGGAAAGAAAACAAGAATACTAAACAAAACAAACTAAAAAACCCACCAAGACAAACAGACAAAGAACATTTGAATTTAAGTGTCAAAAAAGACGTAGTTTTTTTTCAGGAAACTTTAAAAATTATTTTGTGTGTGTGAACTGCAATTTGTCATGCACCAGTCTGTGGTGCTCCCTTCTGTCTCCTGCTTTGTCCAGGATTTATCTACAGCTGTAGTCCACCACCAGCTGCCCTGTAATTCTGTAAAGGACAATAAACTCATCCTGTAGAAGAAATAATGCAAGATATTCTCTCTCAAGTGCTTCTAACAATGGTTCATATTTCCATCAACATATGGGCATGAATCACTTTTCTCTCACCAGCTTGTTTGATACCATCCAATTTTGAGGCTGTCCTGGGCAAGGGATAATACCGGCCCTATGAGAAACATTTTTCATGCAGTTCAAATTGATTCATCAAAGAAATTATAAATAGACTTTAGATTTCTAGATATACATATGATAAAATTAAAAATCAAGTCTTATGCTGACAGACTATATCTCTTGCAAGTAACTCATATACAGGAAGTACCAAATCCACTTTAAGGCTTTTTTTTATCTTCCATAAGTCATAACAGCAATTCTTGTTACTTTAATCAGATTAGGTTAAACCAGAACTGCTGTTTATCATGCTTGTTATGCTTTAAATTGCTAAATTTATCATGCTTTAAACTGTTATTTTTGCTTTTAATTTCTTAGGTTGATAAGATTAATTAACAAGATATCTTGGAGATAAAATTTAACCTTTACAGTTTGAGAACACTCTTCTCCAGAACAAAGGATTTCTTGCTTAGTCTTGTTATTCAGTTCAGTCTAAACATACTTTTAATATGCTCTTCCTTGCTGAATCTGTCCTGCATCATCCAATGACTTTATCACAATAATCCTTCTCAACCTTCTCTTCTATACCTTCCTTACAACCTGCCAACCCTCTCAAGCTCTAAATTAACTAAGTTAATGGAAAACAGTTGTTCTTAACCTACACGTAGTTGAAATTGCTGGTTCAGATGCAGAACAGAAGCTGAATGACTGGAAACCAACCTTTATTTTGGGGTTCCCCCTGCCTCCATTCCCCAGTTGTTTTAGCTGGTCTGTTTATTCTTCACAATATTTCTTCTCCCTATTCATCTTGCATGCTGACAAGGTTAGGATGATCCTTTATTTTTCAGTGGCTGGAAGAGAATTTCTACTACAGGCTTAGTGCTATCGGTGGTGCCAAATTACAGCTGTCTCTGCCTGGCCTAGATGATAGCATTATGTACAAGAGGCTGTGCTAAGTGAAATTAAAACCACTGCACATCTACTATCAACTCTGACTTGGCTGCAGCCATCAGGCACTTTTCTAAGTGCAGCAGGTGTGCTGTAATCAGTCATGCAGCACAAATGAATTCAGTGCTCTAAATGTATTCTTTGGTAACAGTTTAAAATAAAAATCATGCTGTTTACCAGAAATTCAGGTAAATGTGGTGATCTTATTGCAAGGTACAATGAGCCTCTCAGATGTTCATGATAGAAAAAAACACAACAAACAGTAGATGCTTTCTATGCCCTACATTTTTTCTAAAGGTTCTTTTTTAAAATGTAATGTGTTGTGCATGCAAATTTTCAGATGAAAAATAGAACATTGATTTACAAGTTATTGTTACCGTACTTTGTGTAATAGCTCTTAAAATTTCTGATTGTATAAATCAAGCAGATCTTTGAATTAACAATTCACCTTTATAAAGACAAGAAAAATAATTTTAAAAATACTAGAAATTTTGAGTCATTTATTTTAATGATTAGCAAGGAAATAGTGATTTAGAAGTCTATATTCTTGTGTGGATTTTAAGTAGATTAAAAACTGCTTCTGAACACAGAACTGAATGCACTTATGATGAGAGTGTTGATACACGATTTCTAATATCAAGTTTCAAGTATGCTTCAATTTTCTGATGTCCAAGTGCATTGACACTAAAGTCCATTTGTATTAATAATTAGCAACTCCATAATTTTTTTTTTTTTGGTAGTTGAAATATACCCTTCCAATCTTTGAAAGCTGATACTACATTTGAGAGATTTTCTTTGGTTATAAACCCCTTGATAACTATCTGAGGAGATAGAGAAAAGGTGCATAAGAAAGTAACTCTAAATTTTAGTACTTGTTTATCCACCGCTAATAGGCTTTTCATAAAACATTGGGATTACACAAATGCTTCAAAATTATCTCTATGACTGATTCATTACCAAAAAGCAAATATATGCATTATGGTCCCATGTATACACTTATACATACTTAATCATAGAATCATAAAAACACTTATAATGAAAAAGGCCCTTAAGTTAATGGAATCCAACCACAGACCGAACACTGCCAAGTCCACCACTAAACCATGTCCCTGTGTGCCAGATCCACTTATCTTTTAAGTATCTCCAGGACTGTTGACTCAACCACTGGCCTGGGCAGCCTGGTCCAAGGCTTGACAACCCTTTCAGTGAAGAAATTTTTCCTTATATCCAATCTAAACCTTCCCTGGCTTAACTTGAGACCATTTCCTCTCATTCTATCACTTCTCTGCTACACCCCACAGCCAGGTAGGGTAAACCCCTTGCAATAGGACAGACGTGCAATTGTAAAGCTGAGTTGTTTTAAATCCATGGATACACAAGAAAAAGCCAAATGTTATAACTTATCTCCAATTTTGCTTCATAGATTTCCTGGTCATTACATGGCAACTTTGCCAAAATATTCCAATAGTTGTAAATCATGTTTGGTGGTGCACATAAATGCTGATCTAAGGGCTTGTCTGTGCAAGGAAGATATTCACACACAACGCCCTCCCCCTGCCAACAAATAACTAAACCAAAAAACAACCAAAAAACCTCAACATAGTAGTTTTTCTAGAACAATTCTGAATGTGCATGCTTTTTTGTTTACTTTTATCTTTCTTAAATAAATATAAAAAATTCATAATTTTCTGGTCAGTTTTTCTGGATAAGCCCCATTATAAAAAACTAAAAAAAGCTTACAATAGACAATGTGAACTTTCCAGATACTTTTGAACTTGAAATATTTCACAAGAATAGTCACCCTGCACACAATTGTGCTACACATCAATAAAACTGTATTTACAGCCAAAAGGTTTTCACACTGTATAACACTGAAAATATTATAAATGTAATTGTAATAAGAGTTCTCTGAGAAAGTCCTTGACATCTGCAGTCTTTCACATTTCGCTGCAGGCAGGAAGTAATTTAAAAGAACTGAAGCAAAATTGTTTAACTTGGCTTGTTTTATGTGAGGGCACAGAAAACAAAAAAACAATTCTTTTTTTAATAGCATCATCCTACATATGCTCATTGCAACATGGCTTTGACTAAACCAATTCTTTCTGTGTCTTGTCACCTTTCCATGATTTCCCTCAGTTTTAGAGACATTTGCAGAGATATCCACATTTCAGCTGCGATTATTTGTTTAGTTACTTCACTGTCATCCAGGTTGCATGTATGAAGTTTTATGGCACTTAAAGCCATGCAGGCTTTAAATCCTCATTTTCCAGTACTGGAAAACTGTTTGGTATCTTATATTAGCAGCATATTAATGGGGAAAACTACTCTGCTATACAACAAAACATTTAATGTAGACCTTTATAGCAATGTAATTGCAGCGATAGGGTTAATAATTTTAATAGTTTGAGGACACAAGCAAGGCAAGGTATGTGGGAAGTACAGAAATTTTGAGGGCATCAGTTGATATCTGTGAATAAAACACAATTTTTTATGCAGTCCCTCTAGTGTGTCTGAAATTTAGTTTACTGCAGCAACGTCAATTAATTTAATTTTAAAATCCTTTTTATCTGTGTGAGCTTACATTGTGTGTGTCAAGCTGTCTATTTTTCTTGTTATATCTGTGGAAAAAAATCAGTTTTTAAAATATTTTTTTTTCAAAATGCCCCTTATTTTGTCTGCCTTAGATCCCAGGAACTTCTTCTGTTGTTCAGAAGAAATGGAAGCCTCAGCAGCCCTCAGCACAGCCCCGTGGGCTGGGACAATCAACAAAGTCAAAGATTAGTGCTGTGGCAGCTGAAATAAAACAGATTCGTGCAAGAAGGAAAACAGCACGTATGCTGATGGTTGTCCTTCTGGTTTTTGCACTTTGCTATCTACCAATCAGCATCCTCAATGTCTTGAAAAGGTAAAGTTTATCCCAAAATAGAAACACTTGGTAAAGCTTTCTGTCTGTTACAAGATTCCTTTTATTCTGGCAGATACTTTTGATGGATAAGCTTACTTATTGCATGATAAAGAAGTGGAAAATAAGCATACAATCACAAGAAAATATTATCTATTATGTATTTTTTATATATATATATATAAAACCTATCCACAGTACTTAAACTAGAGGCCAGATTGTGGAAGTCTTATTAACAAGATCTTCCTCATGAAAATGATCGAACCTATCTCCTCATTAAACCTTGTCATTTACATGGGATTGCAGCTTGTTTGCTGTAAATGCCCCCAGGGCAGTCACCTGAAGCAGCAGTTGAAGGTTAGCAGCAGAGTGACTTGGCTTTGAGGACTGTGAAATGCTGAGTTCAAACCTAAGCTACTTATACAGAGTTTTGAGATCTTAGGCTAACCCTTCAGTTGGTCCTATGAAGCTTTATTTTAATTTTTCATCTTTTCCTCTCTGTGCATTTCATATGTGTCTACACTCTTGGTTTTTTTACAGTGCCTGACAGACTGAGGCTTTGGTAAACTTGCACCTCATGAGCCCTCTGGAATACCAATAAGTAATGGCACATAGCAGAAGGCAGAATATCCTAAAAATAATAAGCATGTTATTGGTGCTTTTTTAGTTGGGGTGTTATTGGAACATTTTAGTTTTTAAGAGATAGTTTCAAGGTTTAAGTACATCCCACTCAATTCTGGCTCTTCCCTGAGGCCTAATTTAAATACTTTTCATTTGCAAGTCCCTCTGTAGAAAATCTAGAGAGAGAACTATTTCCAAAAGATGGTTCAGGCCACCTACAACCTGAAACAGAGGAAATACACAGGCTGCCTCAACAAGAGTAGCAGAGTAGGCCCAGAGTTATATTTTCATTTAAATGGCAGAAGTAATGTGTAAAGAGTCTGGGAAATGCAGATTTTCCTGGAGGAAAAATGGTAGCTTCAGGTTTGCGGGCAGTTCAATGCCTTTTCAATTCAAGAGATATTTGGAGAGTGGTCTAAAGAGTGTATTGGAGAGTGGGCTTAGACCCAGGAAGCTCAGTGACATGAGTACATCAGAAGCAACTTTTCCAGTCTTTTCTTGGCTTATCTACACCAGATGACTTCAGTTACTCGGTAAAAAAGTCATGCATCTTCACCATAGTAAAGTCTCTGTTGTGCTAAGCCACCAAGACAGGAAGCTGAGGGTTGGGGAGAGGATTCTCTCAAGAGAGCACTGTTGAATCAGCCTTTCTGTGATGCTCCAGATAGGTCATCAGAGAGAACGTTAGGCTAGAACGTGTAAAATCTTTTAAAATTAATTCTAATTTTGCCATCTTTCAGGTTTTCTTTTCTCTTTCTGTAGGGTTTTTGGGATGTTTAATCATGCTGATGACAGAGAAACTGTATATGCCTGGTTCACATTCTCACACTGGCTTGTATATGCAAACAGTGCAGCCAATCCTATTATTTATAACTTCCTCAGTGGTAAGTTACAGTTACCTAGAATTCAAGTTTAACGTATAATTTGAATGTAATGAGCCATAGCAAGAATTAATGACCGTTTAACTTCAGCTCAGCTCCTCCAGTGGGAGCTAGATCCTCTTCCTAGAAGAATCCCATTGCCTTCAGGCTGTTTACCAATGAGTAACCTAGAGTGTGCCAGGGCCTGAGTCCAAGTGCTAGAGTGTGGCTGTCCATGACATTTATGTGGTAGAGAAGTTCCTGGCATGACTTGGATCGGAAACAATTACATTCCTCTAAACACTCCCTGGATGCTCTCTGGCAGGCAGCACAGTCCGGGGGCTGTCCCCTACTGGCATGTTGTGTTCAAGTATTGGGATTTGGAGGCTGTGAGTCTTTAATAGTACTTGCATGACCAGACTGTGCCAAGTAGGGTCAACTTCAAAGAACCAGCCAAGATGCTGTTTACTTACTTATTATAGATTTGTCTTGGTTTGAATATGTGTCATTTGGCTTGGAGAGCAGAATCAGGATCTGAACTGGTTGTATTGCAGCTAAATACAGGGAGGCAAAACTCTATTGATCCTCTCATACATATACATATTGGCCCACTGTAGTGTTTTTGTGGTGTGTAGTGTGGGACTGATCTGAACAATTTCCTCTGAGCCCCAAAAGCATGGAACTGTCAAACATTGTGAAGCTTCTTTTAAAATCTATTAATGATAAAACACAAATTAGCCATGCTCTCTCATTTCACATATCAATTGAGGATTCAATCTGTCAAGCCTATATTTGCTCAATTAGTTTTTTGTTATATATGTAATTAATCAGCAGACTATCTTTGAGGTGGTTTAATTAATCATTTTAGTTTGTCCGTTCTGTCTACCAATAATAATTCAGTCTTCACATCATACCTTGCATGTCTGCTTAGAAAGGTTGTCTTTTTTCTGTCTTTCTCCAAGATGATTAAACTGTAATTTTCTACTTCTGCATTAGAAGAGCATCTGGGTGTTTTACATTAATTTTGCTCTAGATAACTCCTTTATATACCAATCTATAAAGTTTGATGAAATGTGGTTTATGGTACACTTTTTTCATGAGTGATTTTTGTGTGGTTGACAGGGAAATTTAGAGAAGAATTTAAAGCAGCATTTTCCTGTTGCATCCTTGGCATTCGCAGCCACCATGACGAACGGTTCACCAGAGGTCGTGCCAGTACAGAGAGTCGGAAATCCTTGACCACCCAGATCAGCAATTTTGATAACATTTCAAAACTTTCAGAACAGGTTGCATTGTCCAACGTAAACACAATTCCATCAAATGGTACTGCATCTATTACCCACTGTTAGTATACTGGTCCCTTTGCCTTTTGATCCCATAGAAGTAAATTCTAATTGTGCATCCATCAATATTGGGATCTAAGCACAAAGAGAGAAGGATGTTTAAAATTAAGAACTGACTGCAAGAAAAGAAAATTAAAATAAATATTTTATAGAATATGCCATAACTTTGATTATGTAATGGCAAGAGAAAATTTCTTCACATTTATTTCAGAAGTCATGTTGCAGATAGGGAGGGAGTAGAGAAGTCATACTTTATACAAGTATTTTCTTTGGATACCTACTTCTTTTAGCCTCATAAGTAAATAAAGAACAAGCACCTGAAAGTATGAAAATTATTTTCCCTATCGTTGGACTGTGTTTATGAACAGCTGTATTCTACTCTGATCTAATTATCTGAAGTTCTGGTATATTTTATAACAAATATTTTGGACAAAATTGGGTGTAGAGATTGAAGTACCATAATGTCCTTTACTATTTCAAATTATCTGCTTAGCATGCATTCTGGTGTGACTTAGGTTGATCAAATAAGATATTAATATTAATTTATTTTCCAAAATTTTCTGTTCTTTTTCATGTTAGGTAGGCTATTGAATGTGCTCAGGAGCAGCTGGGAAGCCGATTTTTGTTCAATGTAGAAGGAATGGGGATTTTCACCTGAATTCAGTAGAATTTCCATTCCTTTATGTATGGCACAAGCAAAGTTACAAATACAAAACCCATATGACAGTGTGACTGTAAATTATGTTTTACCCTTTGTTTCTCATTTATCATCATTTTTTTCTCTCTATCCTCTGCTTATGGCAGGGGAGTTAGACTAGACTGTCTTTAAATGTCTCTTCAAACCCAAACTATCAATAATTCCATTACTGACTTGTAAACAGGAAGCTGTGGTGCCCTGCTGGTCAGAGAGGCATCTGGATAAGGACCCATGGGGCAATTTACTAAATAGTGCATATTAATAAGTAGTAGAACACATGAAAATGTTGAAAAGTAAAAAAAAAAAATCAAGATTTATGCATCAGAAATGCCCTTAGTCTTCAGTCAAGAAGCTTTCACTTAAAATTTTCAAATGCAATTTGAAACATTTTCTGGAAGACCATTTTATTGTTAGATTATCACCTGCAAAGTATTCAGAGAGAGATAATCAGAGAGTGAGTTAGCCAACTGATACAAGCAGTGAAACAATCTTAAAACCTTTTTTTTATCTACAGATATCCCAGCCATGCTCAGCCCATTGAAGTCAGCGGAACTGCATCTCCACATACCCGGGATGAACATGACTTCAAATATAGATGAAGCCATGAGGGTTTCTGCAGAAGACACTGTCAGAACAGAGAATGCAGAGTGGGATAAATTTGTCCCTAGCATAACTAAACTTACTTCGATGGAGTTACAGCAAGGGTGACTTTGGCTCAATACACTACAACTGCCAGAGAGTGTCACATGCTTTTAGCTGTGGTACAGACTACAACTGGACAAAGGGATTCCTTCAAAATAACTGCCTATCCTCTTTCTTCTCAGTCTTACAGAAACCTACTTACCTCAGTATGAGCTAAAGAACATGTCTTTACAATTCTTTTTAAAGATTGGATTGTATCATACTTTGTAAATATTGTAGATATTTATTTTTATATATTTTAGATGCTGTGAAATGTTCTAAAATATATCATATAAAGAAATATAAGTATTTGAAAGAAGGCTCAAACATGATTTATTTATATCCTCTTTCTAGAAGTGATTGACTCATGTACAAGGAATGCTTACTTACGCACTAGTGATATCCTGGCATTACTTTGCACTTCTTTTTCTGCAAATCCACTTGTAGTAAGTTCTATGTTTATTATGGAACTTTCACTTCATACTGATTTGGGGAGAGTCCACATTACTTTTCTAAGTACAGACATGCTTCTAAGATGTGAATTCACAGTGCTGAAAGTCAGATGTTTTCATAAGGTTAGACTTAAACAGCCTTTTCTTTTTTTTTTATTTCTTTCTCAGATTTGAGTGCCTAGAAAATAACCATTTAAATAAAACTTACGTGATGCTCAAAGGTGCTATAGGCTCAAATTTCCTACTCAGGCCAACAGGAATAACAAGTGTCAGCACCACTGAAGGTCAGGACATTTTAACTTTGGTAGCTCATTTTAGTCTGTAATGTTTAAGAGTTGCTCTAGAAGATCTCTTAAAATCTTTGACACAGGAAATATTAGTTGTCTTTCATTTTCATGACTTCTCTCTCAACTGCTATTTAATACTAAAGATACAATCAATTTACAAATCTACAAATCTATTTATGGGATAATCTCTCTGGCCTGGAGCTTCCTACTATGTATTGTGTTTTTCTCCTTAAAAGGATGAAGATGGTGCATCACTGGAGATTTTGTCTTCTAGAAGAATGTGGTCTATTGGTTAGAAAAAGGCTAATTATCAGAAACTGAGATACAATTTCCCTGTGGTACTATTTTTGTGTTTCAGTCCAGATTTTTCAAAAGAAAGGGTAAGATGAGAGGGAGGACTTTGTTTTTCATTAAAAAGAATTTGGCCTAGAAAGAAGACTGTGTCATATATTCAAATGTTTCTGTAAAGCCAATTGTTAATTGCCCAGGTGTTATTTGATTACCTTTTGTAAATATTTTTTCTAGGTTTTCCTTTGACCTAGTCATGCAATGTACTGTCTATCATGGCAACTATAGTTTTATGAAGTGCTCAATCACTTTATGCTTTAGGCTTCCCCAACAGCTGTTTTACTTGACATTGTTGCAATTCCTCCTAGTTTACACTGGTGTTAAGTGAGAGAAAGGGATTTGCATTCATTTGTATATTGAGGTTTTCTATTTAAAGAGAAAAAGGAGAATACTCTTTTTTTGATTAAAAAAGAATAAAGAAAAATATATAAATGGACAGAATGTTTAAGTATCAAATAAAATAATAGGAATTTCAATATTCCTATGTGTAAGCCTAATTTTTAAGTATAGCTATTATGTCAATGTTATTTCAAGAAATTATTTTGCTTTGTCTCTTCTAAGAAAATAAAACCCAAATAATTGTGGAAAGCACCGCAGGGTTTGATTTCATAGCTATCTCAATTCCTTTACCATGAGAAGGCTATTTTTGCTCTTCAACCATGGAAAATGCAGAATTGTTAAAGAGTGTTGAACAAGATATATCTTTTTTATATATGTAATTTGAAATGATTGAACAAACAGCTGCTGAATTAAAACATTACAGATATGGGAAAATGGAATTTAAAAAGTCCTCTAAATTTTTCTTTTGTTTAGCTATAACCAAAGAAATAGTCAAAAAATTAAAAGCTATTATAGTAACCCAGCTGCAAAATAGTTATCAGTAATCATTTATTTGAGACATAAAATATTTCAGCTCACAGTTGAAAAATATCTATTACATGCAGATTTGGCAAAGCTTTATTTTTATTTCAGAAAATGCATTTTTAGCTTTTCGTTGAAGAAAGAGAAAGAATGTAGACAGCTATGGTTATTTAAGAAAACTTGGACAGCGTAAGAGGGGAACATGTATACTTTTCAAACATAGAGGGTCGTGGGTCACTGTGGAAGGCCAGCAAAACTTTTAGGCTTCATCTGGTGTGTTGTCCAGATCCCTGTGAGAACAGAGAGGAAAAGGGTACAGTACTCCTAACCTGGGCCAGCAAACAAAGAACTAAAATATCAGTGTCAGTCATGCTCATGGAAAATTTCTAATTAGCTCCTTTCTAAAGAGTGGGTGAAAAGCACCTGCTGACACGATTCGTATTCTTTTTGCTTCTACCTTAATGCCAGGGGGATAAATTGTGTTAGCTAAGTTAGTTCTGAGGCAAGAACATTACTGAAGGTCAATGGCAGTTTTTGGAGCCTGGAGGTGTTCTGTGCCATGTTAGAAAGGGAGGTTCTGGCCTTGAATTTGTCTTTGTAAGAGAAAGACAATTAATTTTAATTAATTTTGTCTTTGTAAGAGAAAGCATATCTTTTGTTCTCTTTTTTATCTTTTCTTATTTTCACCTAGGTCTTCAGAATTAAAATGTTCCAACATTTCTAGGAATTTCTTTTAACCACAACTTTAACTTAGCAGTACTTTTTATGTGGAGAAGATAAATAAAATATGAGACATTCATTAGAAAATTATTCTGAGTTTTCTCTGGACAATTTCTATTGAGTAAACAGCATATCTTTCAGACTCAAATTTTACAATCAGATGTTATATCGGATTTGAAATTCTGAGAATAGATAGAGAGCGTTAACGAATTTTTGACAGAGACTATGCTTATCAAGCTAAATATTGGTGAAATATGGTTATCAAGATAAATATCTGGTTATTTTTATGAAAATATTTTTCATTCAAAAATAAATATTTTGATGAAAATATTCCTATGGTTTTATTTCTTTAGTTTTAAAAAAATCAAGAAATACCATTTTTAATTAAAATAATCACTGGGAGCAATAGCCAGCATTGGAGATAGAAATAGCTGGGAGAATAGAGGGTATAATGAATGTACATGTCTTATCCAGCATATAAATACTGAAAATTATCTGAAAGCTGAGCCTTAATTGCATTTTGTTACCTCTAGCTGCTTTGCTATTCTAATATTTCCACTACTGAAATGGAGAGAAATGGAGAAACAGAGTTTTCATGCCATTGTCTCTACTTGTCCACAGCAGCATTAAACATTGGGTTTAAATCACAGCATATTTGTTCCTGCAGATATAAGTTGTTGTGCCACCATCATTCTGGTGCTTTGTCTCTCAACACATTTCACATTCTGGTCTGTTTCTCCTTTACTGCTGTCACTGTAGTGATAAGCTTGTGCCTTGCAGTCACAATGAATGTAAGATAATATCTCCCTGTCTCCACCTCCAAAAACACAATGTTTTTCCTTTTCTTCTGGACTGCACAGAGAGAACCATCTCATTCTCTGATATTATCAAAATTGATATGTGTTATTAACCTGGAGAATGCTTTATAGGATGGAGAATACACTGAACATTAGTTTAACTCAGCCCTCACTCTATGACGTATCATATCCTACTGCTGCATAATGCAATGGTTTAAGGCAAAGGCAAATTTAGCTTTCCAACCTAGAATTTGTCTCACAGCTGAAATTATATTAATCTCTCAGGCTGTCCTTTCTACTTGACAATTAGGTTTTTCAGTGGCTATTGGATATATTGGGTGAAGTAATATTTATTGAACAATTTAAAAAGCCCACAAACAAATATTTAGTAACTTTCTTGTTAAGAGCTTACATAAATAATTCAGTTAATAAAAAAAAAAAAACTAAGCTAAAAATCTGCGTTAAAAAATATATGAGAAATTACATACAAAATTGATTTTTCCTCAGCTAAGAAAAATAACCGAAATCTGGACTTTGGGTTATGTTTTGCTTTGTCAGTAGGGACAGGATTTCAACCACTCTATCTGTCTCTCTGATAGCTAAGCTGGAAATTTTATGACATCTTTTTGTTTAGGCCTTTAAGGACCAACTACAGTTAAACATATTCTGTATGAGATAGGCCATCTGTGAAAAGAAGTAGCGTGGAGAAATCAGTAGGGATCTGTTGCTTCCTCCTCCTTCCACTGCAAAAGCAAAGAAGCCAGCAGGTGCATGACTGCATCCTTTATGGTTGACCGCTTCATTTTTAAGTACCAAGTCAGCTGCTGACTTTTGTATGGCAAACTCTTTCTTGAGGTATTTTACTGAACGCCTGAGGTTACACTCATAGTTCAGTCTGGGTCTAGACTATAGATTAATTCTCTTTTCCCCTGGTCTGCCGTCCAACGTATTCCATAGCTCTTCTGTCTCCTTAACCGATCGAGATTGTATTCCACATCTGAGGTGAAAACAAACAAATTCGCATCTAAAATGCGTTGAAAAGTGCTTACAGAAGGTGATAGGACATAGCAACAGGCATTTTCCAAAGAGCTTATAAGCAGGAGCCAAAGACCTGCTCTGTCAATTTCTCTGGAGACCAAATGCCAACTAAGTGCAGAGGGAGTGACAGATCCCCTGGAAGATGCCGAAGGACTCACGCGTCTCATCCGGACGCAGTCGGGCTCAGCGACTGTGGCACGAGAAGAAAAGTAAGCAGAGGCGTGACAGCGGCGGCAGAGCCCGCTCCGGGGCTGGCCGGCTCCGCTCGCTGTCCCTGGCCGCCGCAGAGGCGGAGGCGGTGTTGTTCGGGCCTGGCCGGGCCGGGCCGGGCGGCGCTGTCCCGCGGCCGGTGCTGAAGGGGCGGCGCCGCTCGGGCACCTGGGCCCCGCCGGGCGGGAGCCGCCGCGCCGCGCCGCCATGGCCGCGCTCCTCGGCCCCGGTAAGTGCGGCGGGAGGGCAGCGCCGGAGCCTCGCCTCGCCCCGCGCCTCCGGCCGCCTCCTCCCCACGGCTCCTTCTGCCGCGG